GGCCCAGTATCGGTGTTAGATTGCCCGGGTCTCTGGTCAGCCCCTGTACTGGGCCAGAGTTGCGTTCAGCTCACGCGCTTTGTCCCATAAAGCTGGACAACACACACACACACGCGCGCACACACACACACACACGCACACACACAGAGTCACATTTGCTTTAATGTGAGTAGCAGAAATTTTACACGCACACACAATGCACAAAAATACTGTAATTGTAAATACATTTACTAATGTGAACAGACCACCTATGAATCTCATTCTCATAAAATGATGAATGACACGTACGGGGACAATATATACACAGAACACATGTAACTTTCCCTTATTTCTTTTCGCCTCCATCTTATAGGTGTGACCTGCTTCAGTTTGCTTCAAAGAAGTTCAAATTTGACTCAGCAGAGTTAAGGTTCTTTAATCAAATTAAATTAGATTCTGAAACTCCAATCAATTCAAACGGGGGAGTGAAATAAAAGAGCGAGCAAACTTCTCAGCATATTCTAATTTAAATAAAAATCATTAAATTGAGATGAAAATGAGCTATAATTACATGTGTTTGTGAAATTCCTCGAGAGTTCAAACGCAAACAGTCGATCGACTACAAAGAGTGCAGTATATACCTGCCAAGCGAGCTGAGCTGGAAATAATTGCATAGCGAGTTTCAAACGCAGCTCAGGTCTTTGGGGTGGACAGAATCATTTGATTCCTCCTCGTTTAGCGTGTGAGAGAGGATGAGAGATGAGGCGGTTTACTGGAGCAGGGAGCTCACGCACAGAATGGATAATGAAGCTCTTCCACTCCACGCTGACTGATGTCTGCTCTCCTCCACTTCTGCTAGAAGCTTTTTGGAAGCGGTTTTTGGCCAGTTATCAAAATCCAGAGGACCAAAGTGCAATATGTTGGCTCTAAGTGCCAAACACGTATCCAAGAAAATAAGTTACCACTTTTTATGTATTTATGGTTTTAATCTGCTTGCATTCGGTGGGAGAGATGACTCCATCTGGTGTGAGAACTCCTCTCAGGTATCAACTACATTTGGATTACAGGTGTTCGGGGAATTAAGATTTTGATTTGTCCACAGAAACTCATAATCAGATTTTTTTTTTAAATGTGACTGATAAATATAATGATTAAGAATACACATGCAGGACAAAACATCACAGATATGTGCAATGCTGCAAAATATATCTGTGCTGCACAAACATATTACAAACATACACACAGGGCATAAATCTAACATTTTAAAACACCTGTAAATGGCCTGTGACTAGAATATTAACTCGCCATACATATTTCGGTTACACTTTATTTTACCTTACAGTGCAATTAGACATTTAAATAATGAGTAATATTAATGAACTACATGTACTTATTATATGGTTAGGGTTTGGCTTAGGGTTACTTGCATGTAATTATACTGTACATAATTTATTGTCATTATAATAGTAACGTGTAACAATGATACCGTAAAATAAAGTGTTACCATATTTTTGTACCAGCCACGAAACTGTATGCGCATTATTTCAATAAAAAACAAACATTTATTTGACATTTTTATTTATTTTTTAAATCTTTTTTTAATTTATTATTATTATTATTATTATTATTAAATGAAATTATAATAAATAAATAAATATTAATACTAATATTTATATAGTATTAATACTAATATTTATAACAATACTAATCCCAAGGCGTGCCGTGCCCCCTGGGGGTGAGGGCTCACTCCACACGGAGTGTTGCCACCTCCTATGCGCTGGCGCACGGCGCCTCTCTGGCAGACATCTGTAGAGCTGCGGGCTGAGCGACACCGAACACCTTCACGAGATTCTACAGTCTCCACTTTGAGCCAGTTTCTTCCCATGTGTTGTGTAACAGGTAATCGGCGGGGAGAGCTGGCCGGTGTCATGCTTGCTGCGCCATTCCCCCTCACCCAGGGGATGCGAGCGCCTTTCTCCTCCTCCAGTAAGTTCCCCGGACAGCGAACCCTGGCAGAGTATCCTCCTGCAGTCAGACTGGGCGGAGCAGTCTGACGCCAGGCCCAGTATCGGTGTTAGCTTGCCCGGGTCTCTGGTCAGCCCCTGTACTGGGCTAGGTGTCCATAAGGCTTGATTCCCTGCGGCCAATCCCATATGTGTATTCTTCCACGGTAAGGTTTCCCTCTCAGTAAACCCGTGTCTTCCCTTTGACAGTGTTCTGTCAGTCTCTGCTGGCAGTTGTTCCATCCCTACTCTCAGGTAGGACCTGCCCCAGAGACCCATTCCATATGTAGTACTGCCCCAGCCCGGGGTCAGTCCATATGATAATCTCCACATGTTACCTCCCTACGGGTATGGTGGGGCCTCTGTAGCACCCTTCTCCAGAAGGCTCGCTTCCTTATCGTTTCTGCCTAAGCTGTAAACTACAAATCGGAAAGACTTGAAGCAAATCTTTCGTTGAAGGTCGAAATCCCTTCTGTTAAAAAATTTCTGTCAGAAAAGGAACAACGGCTTGGCTATCTCCAGCAGCGATGTGTTCACCTGTGGTCCCTGCGGATACCAAGGTCAGCGAATTTGCGCTGGGGCGGTGGGAAGGTTGCGACCTTTGCGTAGCATTTGTCTGACACGCGGCCGCTTGCCAACATTGGCTACATCATGGGGTTGTGACAGGGTTCAGGTTGTGGCGCTTTCCAGGGCCCCATAATGTCGATCACGACATAACTCATAGTGACCGACAGATAGGGAACGTCTCGGTTACATACGTAACCCTCGTTCCCTGATGGAGGGAACAGAGACGTTATGTCCGCTTGCCACAACCTCTATTTATACCCGTATGCACGGGGAGTGGCTCAGGTATGCAAAATCCACTAGCCAAATTTCATTGGCATTTTCTCTTAAAGAATCATGACATAACGTCTCCGAACGAGGGTTAAGTACGTAACCGAGACGTTGTTTCCCTCACTAAAGCTGTGAAGTACACAGTCTTATATCTTTGTATTTTTGTCCAATTTTTGCTTCAAATCAAAATGAGCAATTTAGTCATTCCACTTGTAACTGGTTGCTTGGGTTCATGGCATATAACTCTTTAAAGGGATAGTTCACCTTCAGTTGGTCCCCACTGACTTGCATAGTGTTTTCTTTCCATACTATGGAAATCAGTGGGGAACTGAAGGTGAACTTTAACGAAAATCCCTTTGGGAAAAATTAATGGGGAAAATACTTCCCGGAACCAATGCCACTGAAAAAGTGGGCAGCACTAACATCCAGGACATAATCTGGTTATTAAAGTGACATAATCTGGACTGCAGTGTGAACACGTTGTGTTTTACCCCAGTTCTTCGTCAGCAATGTTTTTCTTGCCGGAGAGCTGGCGTTTGCGTAGTTCTGCGAGCATTGTTTGGATTTCATCGTTCCTCTCGTTCACGCTCTTCTCAGGAGCCCCGTCCCTCGAGCCCAGAGTTGCGTTCAGCTCACGCGCTTTGTCCCATAAAGCTGGACAACACACACACACACGCGCACACACACACACACACACACGCACACACACAGAGTCACATTTGCTTTAATGTGAGTAGCAGAAATTTTACACGCACACACAATGCACAAAAATACTGTAATTGTAAATACATTTACTAATGTGAACAGACCACCTATGAATCTCATTCTCATAAAATGATGAATGACACGTACGGGGACAATATATACACAGAACACATGTAACTTTCCCTTATTTCTTTTCGCCTCCATCTTATAGGTGTGACCTGCTTCAGTTTGCTTCAAAGAAGTTCAAATTTGACTCAGCAGAGTTAAGGTTCTTTAATCAAATTAAATTAGATTCTGAAACTCCAATCAATTCAAACGGGGGAGTGAAATAAAAGAGCGAGCAAACTTCTCAGCATATTCTAATTTAAATAAAAATCATTAAATTGAGATGAAAATGAGCTATAATTACATGTGTTTGTGAAATTCCTCGAGAGTTCAAACGCAAACAGTCGATCGACTACAAAGAGTGCAGTATATACCTGCCAAGCGAGCTGAGCTGGAAATAATTGCATAGCGAGTTTCAAACGCAGCTCAGGTCTTTGGGGTGGACAGAATCATTTGATTCCTCCTCGTTTAGCGTGTGAGAGAGGATGAGAGATGAGGCGGTTTACTGGAGCAGGGAGCTCACGCACAGAATGGATAATGAAGCTCTTCCACTCCACGCTGACTGATGTCTGCTCTCCTCCACTTCTGCTAGAAGCTTTTTGGAAGCGGTTTTTGGCCAGTTATCAAAATCCAGAGGACCAAAGTGCAATATGTTGGCTCTAAGTGCCAAACACGTATCCAAGAAAATAAGTTACCACTTTTTATGTATTTATGGTTTTAATCTGCTTGCATTCGGTGGGAGAGATGACTCCATCTGGTGTGAGAACTCCTCTCAGGTATCAACTACATTTGGATTACAGGTGTTCGGGGAATTAAGATTTTGATTTGTCCACAGAAACTCATAATCAGATTTTTTTTTTAAATGTGACTGATAAATATAATGATTAAGAATACACATGCAGGACAAAACATCACAGATATGTGCAATGCTGCAAAATATATCTGTGCTGCACAAACATATTACAAACATACACACAGGGCATAAATCTAACATTTTAAAACACCTGTAAATGGCCTGTGACTAGAATATTAACTCGCCATACATATTTCGGTTACACTTTATTTTACCTTACAGTGCAATTAGACATTTAAATAATGAGTAATATTAATGAACTACATGTACTTATTATATGGTTAGGGTTTGGCTTAGGGTTACTTGCATGTAATTATACTGTACATAATTTATTGTCATTATAATAGTAACGTGTAACAATGATACCGTAAAATAAAGTGTTACCATATTTTTGTACCAGCCACGAAACTGTATGCGCATTATTTCAATAAAAAACAAACATTTATTTGACATTTTTATTTATTTTTTAAATCTTTTTTTAATTTAGTATTATTATTATTATTATTATTAAATGAAATTATAATAAATAAATAAATAAATATTAATACTAATATTTATATAGTATTAATACTAATATTTATAACAATACTAATATTTATGGTCGTTTTTTTCGTTGCTTTTAAATGATAAACCATAGAGCTTTTATTTTGGCAGAAAGCTGCAGAGAAACTTCTCTTTTGAAAGGCTTTTCTTTTGTGAACAACAGATTTATTATCCATTCTCATTACACTCTCGTTTTCAAATGCACAGAAAAAGTTCAAGAGCCAAAATGGAAAAATGTATGGAAATACAGCATACAACGATATATATTTAGACAGAACCCAAGCTTCTTCTCGTACGACACTATTAACGATGCTTGTTCAGCTTTTATTGGCAGATCAGAGCAGAGATGCTATAATTTGTCACTTTTATTAAGATCCCAAGAGATGATTTTTAAATGTTAACTTCTTATTATCCAAAACAGCATCTTAAAAATGCTGCGCTCAAGGCGCGAGACACTGAAAAACAGCGAGAAGAATCAAATAGCCTGTGCATATTTATACAGAAAACAGTCTAGATGGACAAAAGAAGGCAAATGCTGTTTGGAGTAATTTTTGAGTCATATGAGTCCTTGAATCTGCTCATAATGAATGAAGTCAGTTCATGGTTGAACTGAATCAACATTGAAATAAATTGTTGTGAATACTGAACACTATTGTCTTGAATTTTAGTTTGTTTCATAATTTATGATTTTTACTGTTCTGTTTAATAATGTGAAGCTGATTTGAAACTGAATCTGCATTGTATAAAGTGCTAAACAAATAAGCGACTTGACTTAACCACACACACACACACACACACACACACACACACACACACATCTCACACATCAAGGTCAGTCAGGCAAGTGTGACTCCAGGAAGATGTTTCCTGTCATCACTTTCGTCAACTGTCAGGGAGATGTCAAACTCTGATTATATTTAGAAAAAAAATCACCTAGGACAAACTCTTTCTTGTAAACATCGCATACAAAGTCAGTTTACAACAAAGAAAACCTACAAAATAAAAAGAGAATCATTTTTCAAGGTCTGAGCGGAGATATTTCCAACCAGTCAAAAACACACAGGGGCGAAGAAAAAAAACCATGCCAGCTTAACTGCGAAGAATGACAGGCATCGGCGCATGTGCGCGAGTGCATGTGTGAGATGTACAAAACTGTTCTAGTCAGTGTAAGTATCTGTTTAAGTGATTATTTTTCCAGTAATTAATTTTGTCTCTTTTAATTAAGGCACCACATAGTGTTAGCTGACCCTTCATTAACTAAAGCAGCTTCTCATTTAAAGCCATGTACAATGATACAAACAGACTCATTTACAAAACATCAGGCCTCACACACACACACACACTCACACACACACACACACAAGCCCAAAATAAAGCAGCTCAACTACACCCTAACCTCAGCCTCACCCAACCTTCACCTCAACCTCGGCTAATATCACACTGATCCCATCAAAACCTCATTAAAATCATCATTTCAGGTGGCAGAGCTGGGTAGATTACTTACAAATTGTAGCCTGTTACTGATTCCAAATTACATGACAAAAATTGTAATTAGTAACATAATTCATTACATCACACATTTTAGCTAACATAATCAGCTACTTTTTGATTACTTTTAGACTACGTTTGACCTAACTTGTTTATCACATTGATTTCAATAGAATAATCTTGTACCATATTGATATAAAAATGCAAAAAAAAAGAAAATATATTCCATTTGTTGTTATTGACAACATGAAGTGCATTAAATATTACATCAAGGTTTCCCAAACTGGGGTTCGAAAATGAACCGAAGGAGGTTCATGAGTTAAATGAAAAGCAAATAATTAATTAAATAAAAAAAGTAAAATTAAATTAAATTATTAAAAAAAAACATAAAAATAAAATTAAAATAAAACACTTACTAAAAAATTATTAAATATTTTATTTATTTTATTTGTTTTCTTGCGTGTCATGTTTTAAAACCTCAGGGCTACTTCAAGTAAATACATTAGGTGAAAGAGGTTCGGGTGACAAAAAAAAAGTTGGGGAATCCCTGCATTACATAAAAAATAAATAAGAAATAATGTGAATGTGTGCATTTTAATGTGTTTGAAGGACAAAAGTCTTCCAAAGACAAAGTAATACATGATTAAATAACCGAGTGATAATTAAAATACAATTTTTCAGTGTTCATCGGTAGTTGATGTAATAATGCTACAAAATGCTTCTTAAAATTGAAATGAATTTTGTAAATCCAGTGGTCAAATGCTGTGTGGCCTCTCAACTTCCTGTGTAATTATATCCACCTGACTAATGACTGATGTCTGTGTGAATGTCCACAAAACTGGACTTTCTGAATATATACAAGCAGTAGGCGATTTGAGAAAGAAACATGTAAAAGAAGAAAAATAAATTACGGAGAATCAATAAAGTACACTCTTAAAAAGAAATGTGCTTCACGATGCCATAGAATAACCTTTTTGTCTAAATGGTTCCATAAAGAACCTTTAACATCGGAAGAACCTTTCTGTTTCACAAAAAGTTGAAAAGAAGAAGGTTCTTCCGATTATAAAAAGGTAAGAAAGAGATGATTTGACTGAATGGTTCTTCTAGGGCAGGGGTGGCGAACGTCGGTCCTGGAGAGCCGCAGCCCTGCAGAGTTTTGCTTCAACCCTAATCAAACACACCTGAACATGCTAATCAAGGTCTGAAGGGTTACTGGGAAGCTACAGGCAGGTGAGTTTTAATTAGGGTTGGAGCTGAACTCTGCAGGGCTGCGGCTCTCCAGGACTGGAGTTCGCCACCACTGTTCTATGGCATCGCTGTGAAGAACCTTTTAAGCACCTTTATTGTTAAGAGTGTATGAATAATATGTAATCATGTAATCAATAAAAAAGTAACTGTAGTCTGATTCCGAGTATTTTAAAATGTAATTTAATTTACTTACAAGTACTACATTTTGGGAATCTGATTACGTAATCCAGATTAGATGTTAACAGTTATACCCAGCTCTGTCAGCTGGACCAGTCAAATCCTCAGTTTGTCATTTGTTGGTACCTTCAGCAGCCAGCAGTGTGCTCCTGATGTAAAGCTCCAGGTCCTCGGCTCCTTTACGGCTCCGCTCTGCATCTGCTGCCGTCTGCTCCCCATCTGCAGACACTTTAGTCGTCTGCATGAGAGAAAAACCCAATGAAAGCGCAGTGAGATTTTATCGAACAGTCTCAGATCAGCCTCACATGCTCTTCTGCAGCCGTGTGAAGAAGAAACCAACCTCGGGATAAAAACAACAAGACACATGAGATCTGACACCTTTGGGGCCAACATGAACAAAAACTCAAAGAAATGCTGCAAAACTGCAATACTTCCAGTTTGGCAGAAATGTTTGTGAGCGCAGAGGTTTTCTACTGAACTGGCTCTTGAACATCTGCTCTCTGAAAAAGCTGCTTTAGAGCTGAACTATAATGAGTTTATCAAGGACTTCTGTTGAGAAGAAGGTGAAAGGTTCCCTTCTGCACAAATGAGCAGAACACTTCAGACTATGAACAAGTTAATGTTCTGGCTTTCTTTCATGTTGAAAAACAAACCGGCAAGTTCAGGGTCTTACAGGAGTGATTCAGACGGTATATGTAAAATACAGATTTACACAAAAACCAATGGAGCCCAGCTTCAGAAAACATGCCCATTCATTTTGCTGTAGAAGTATAAATTTAGGAATAAAAAAAAAATGTCTGCATTCATAGATGTACAATACAGTCTATACGCATGAGACCTCAAGCTGTGCTCAAGATATACAAACTGTCTTATAATTTATATAACCAGTAGACAATAGTCAGAAATAGGGACAGTCTGTGTGTGTTTTGCTCCCCATGTGCTCCCATTGACCTAGTTTTCCCTCATGTGTGACATGCCCATATTTGGTTATCTTCCTGTTCCTGTTCCGATTGTTTTTGATTTATCTCAGGTGTGTCTCATTAATTAGGTTAATTAACTCCCTCGAACCTAATACGTTATTTGCGTTTTCCCCTTCATTTGTTTTCCGTGTTTCGTACAGTGATTTTTGTTTTCGTTGTGTTCCCCATAGATCCCCTCGCCTCTAAGTTTACCTCCCTTGCCCGTAAAGACCTTCCCTTCTTGGAGTATGCTGTGGAGTTCAGCCAGCTCGCCGTTTTAACGGCGTTCGACGACGCCATGCTGAACTCCCTGTTCTGGATCAGGGCCAACTACTTCCGCCTCGTCGACCTCCCAGACACCACCAGACTGTGCTGGAGGGAGGCAATCATCTGGTGTCTGGAAAGCTTCTACCCCTGATCCAGAACACAGCCAGACCCAGAGCCCAGCCCACCATCACCCCGCTGCGCAGAGCAAGAGCCTGAGCCCACCACTGACGGAGAGCCAGAGCCCATCGCCACCAACGAGACATCGCCAAGGAGTGCGACAGAGCTGAGGATCGCCACGGAGCCAGAGCCTCACGGATCGTCAGACCAGGTGCGAGAGCCGGCTACAATGCCCGCCACGAGGGAGAAAACCACAGACAGAGAGAGCGCAGAGAGGAGCTCCGCCCCCTGCACCGTGGCTGAGGGTGAGCTGAGAATGGATCTGGGTGAATGGAAAGCGGAAGGAGACCTTATTGACTTGTATACCGACCTGCCCCCTCTCCTCCCTCCTCCGTCTGTGACCTCTGTCCCTCATGTTCCTGAGTTTAGCCCAGAGAGGGCTTCCATTTCCCCTTCCAGCCCAGAGAGGGCTCCAGTTCCTAAGATTAGCCCAGAGAGGGCTCCCGTTCCTGAGTTTAGCCCTGAGAGGGCTCCTGTTTCCCTGTCCATCCCAGAGAGGGCTCCAGTTCCTAAGATTAGCCCAGAGAGGGCTCTCGTTCCTGAGTTTAGCATAGAGAGGACTCCTGTTTCCCTGTCAATCCCAGAGAGGGTTCCTGTTCCTGAGTTTAGCCCAGTGAGGGCTCCTGTCCCCCCATCCAGCCCAGAGAGGGCTCCTGTTTCCACGTCCTGCTCAGAGAAAGACTGTGTCCCAGAGTGGAGACCTGTCAATCCCCTGTCAGTCGCGCTCCCTGTGCTGGGAGTCGCAATTTGGTGTGCAGTGCACACCATCCCTGAAAGCCCGGAGGCTCACAAATGTCCGCCCACCCACCTGCTCCTGCCTCCTCCCCCTCTGTTGTCTGGCAGCCCCTCTGCTCGCCCTCAGCCCACCATCTGTACGGTGCAAGCTCTGCGGGTCTGCCAGGCTTCATCGTCGACATGGCTGGAGAATCACTTGCCTCCGCCTCCAGCCTCTAAGCCCCGGGCTCCGCCTCGGCCCGTCGACCCAGCGGCTCCACCATGGCTCCTAGCACCCTCTTCTCCGCCGTGGCCCATCAGTACACGGGCTCCACCTCTGTGGTCGACCATTCTGCGCCTCGGGACTCCACTCCTCCTGCTGCGCCAGGCTCCTCCTTCCCTTCGGCTCCACCTTGGTCCTCTGTCGCTCCGGCTCCACCGCGGCCTTCTGAATCCCCACCTCCATAACAGTCGCCTGAGCCATCTGCTCCGCCTTGGCTCTCCGGATCCTCTTCGTGGCCTGGGTCCCACCTGGCGCTGCATGCTCCAAGTCCCTCCTGTTTCCTCCTTGGCTCCTCCCTCCATCGTCACCTCCCTGGACTCCCGGGTGTCCGTCCTCCTCCTCCCAAGTTCCCACCCATCCCTCCTTCTGTTGTTTATTCAGCGCGAGGACATGCCCATTTTTAGTTATCTTCCTGTTCCTGTTCTGATTGTGTTTGATTGCTCTCAGGTGTGTCTCATTAATTCCCTCGTTTAGTTCAGTATTTAAAGTGTGTTCTGCCCCTTGTTTCCTGCTCGGTGTTATATGTCTTTGGTGCTGTGTGTGTCTCCTGCGTGCCCTGTTTTCCCTGTGATTTGGATTATTAAAGACTCTTGTGTGGTCTAACTCCTACGTCTCCTTGCTCCTCACAGTAGCGAAACCTGACAACAACAAAATGTGTGAATTTATTTATTTTATAAAAATATTCTTGCAATTTAAAATAACTGTTTTCTATGTGAATGTATTTGTGAATGTAATTTTCAGCATCATTACTCAAGTCTTCAGTGTCACATGATCTTCAGAAATCATTCTAATATGCTGATTTGCTGCTCAAGAAACATTTCTGATTATTATCAATGTTGAAAACAGTTGAGCTGCTTCATATCTTTGTGGAAACCAAGATTAAAAAAGTCACAAAAAATGCTATTTCAAAGAAATGCTGTTCTTTATCAAAGTATCTTAAAGTAAAAATAAAATGTATCTCAATTTCCAATGTATATATATTTATTTATTTGGGCAGCACAACTGTTTTCAACATTGATAATAATCAGAAATGTTTCTTGAGCAGCAAATCAGCATATTAGAATGATTTC